TGATAACACTTCTGTGCCTTAGTAAATTTCTGAGTGCAGGACTCTTACTTGTTGTGGAGCAATTCACAGTATTGTATGGCTACTTTTATTTACAGGAACTAAAGGAGTTTGAATTGTTAGGAAATACTTTAAATTGCTTTATTGTGAAGAGACAATTGAAACCACTTTCATGTCTGTATGATAAATATGAAGCTGCAGCCAGTGAAAGGTTATCTTAGCTTAATGATGATAAAGTATTAAGATTAGAAAGAGCCTTGCTCTACCTTAAGCCAACAAAACCAGCTGGCAACAAGTGGACACACCAGAAGTTGCTGCTTCGAGCCAAGTCAAATTTTATTTATTAAGCCCAGTATCAAAAATTTGTCTCAAGGGACTTTACAATCTGCACAACATATAGCACCCTCTGTCCTTGTGTCCTCAATGTTTATAAATAAAAACCATGAAAAAAGAAACGAGATTCCTCTTCCACAACAGATGGACATGCAATAAATGTCATGTGTACAGAATACATAGTAGGCGGACAATCAGAATGACAAAATTATAGATTATATATTAAGAATATAACCTGGGGGGATGTCAGAGGGCCAAGCCACACAATCGCCTCTCCAGATGAAGACCTGGAAGGCAGGTCAGGCTACACAAACACGCCAGAGGCAAAAACCCAAGCACACAATTCACACATATAGTAGAGGAAAGAAACAAACACGAGAAAGAGAAATACAAAATAAAAGGTCCAGACACTTGAATGAGGCAATAACAGACAAGGGAGAGAGGTCTCAGGATTCCTAGCCTAGCACTAAGAGGCTGTTGGAAAGAGAAGATGTGGACAGGAAAAGAGACAAAGACACATAGCTTGGACAGGGGTTTTTCAAGAAGTTTGTAGCAATCTCAACAGCAGGGAAACATGGACTATACTTTACATAGCACAGTTGAAAAGATTCAGTGATACTGACTCTGACCCACCAACGAGTTAGGCAGGTTACAGGTTAGAGTCCAACAACAAACAAATCCAAAATATTCAGTTTATTATCATTAATGACGAAGAGCTTCAATTATTAAATAAGGTGTAAACTGAAAATATTTGCTAGCTTTGTCATGCCACAGAGGAGGCTTACAGAAGTGGGGACAGGACTCTGTACAGCCAGGCCAGGAACACACTGACAAGGAAGCAAAGAGGAGCTATGCTGAAAAGCTGAAAGCTCAGGTTTCAGCCAATGACCACTCGTCTGTGTGGGGGAGCCTGAAAAGCATCACTGGCTACAGGAAACCATCCCCACCGCTGTGGAGGACCGTCAACTAGCAGACGACCTGAATGTGTTCTACTGCAGGTTTGACAAACACTCACCCTCCCCACCTCAGATCCAGCAGCTGCTCCCAACAATCACCACCCTTCCCTCCAGCCCCCCACCTCTAACAATTTGAAAAGGATGTGTGTGGCCTCTAAAAAACAAAGGATCAGAAAAGCACCAGGCCCAGATGGTGTGACCCCCCCTCCTGCTTGAAAGTATGTGCTGATCATCTGGCCCCCATCTTCACACTTATCTTCAACAGGTCACGAGCTGTGTGAAGTTCCCTCCTGCTTCAAATGCTCCACCATCATCCCAGTGCCCAAGAAAGCCTCCATCAGTGGACTGAATGACTACAGACCTGTTGCCCTGACAACTGTAGTTATGAAGTCCCTTGAAAGACCCATGTTGGCCCACCTGAAGGACATTGTAGACCCCCTGCAGTTCCCTTACCGGGCAAACAGGTCAGTGGACAATGCAGTGAACATGACACTGCATTACTTCCTGCAACACCTTGAATCCCCAGGGACATATCCACAGGCCCTCTTTGTGGACTTCAGCTCAGCATTCAACACCATCATCCTGGACATCCTCCACTCCAAACTGACCCAGCTCACTGTGCCTGCCGCCACCTGTCAGTGGATTACTAGCTTTCTGACAGACAGGAAGCAGCAGGTGAAGCTGGGGGAAAACACGTCCAGGCACATCCTGCACCCAGACAATAAGCACAGGCGACCCCCCAGGAATGTGTGCTCTCCCCTCTGCTGTTTTCACTCTACACCAATGACTGCATCTCAAAGTCAGGAGGTTGAGCAACTGGTCCTGTCGTGTAGCCGCAACAACCTGGAGCTGAACATGCTCAAAACAGTGGAGATGAGAGTGGACTTCTGGAAGAAGCCCCCCACCTTACTCCCCCTTACCATACTTGGCAGCACTGCATCAGCAGTAAAGTCCTACAAGTTCCTGGGCTCCACTATCTCCCAGGACCTGAAGTGGACGTCCAACATCAGGACCATCACCAAGAAGGCACAGCAGAGGATTTACTTCCTGCACCAGCTCAGGAAGTTTGCCCTGCCCCAGGAGCTGCTGATACAGTTCTACAGAGGAATCATCAAGTCTGTTCTCTGTACCTCCATCACTGTCTGGTTTGGCTCAGCAACCAAACAAGACAAGTACAGACTTCAGCGGACAGTCAGGACTGCAGAAAAGGTCACTGGTGTGAGCCTGCCCTCCATGGAGGACCTGAACACCTCACGGGTCAAAAGGAGGGCGGAGAGGATCACTGCTGACCCCTCACACCCTGGATATAATCTGTTTGAACTCCTCCCCTCTGGACAGTGTTACAGGTCACTGTGCACTAAGACAACCAGGCACAAGGACAATTTCTTCTCCCAGGTTGTCGCTCTGATGAACACTTGACCCACAACAGTATGATTGGACAATAACCCTCAGTGCAATACCTGTGTATATACATTGTACAGACTATACAGATCTGTACAGGTCTTTATTAAGTACTCTATTTTTATTCCTATTTATCCCATTTCTCAATGAACATTCCTTGCCTGTCTATACTGCTTATTTTGAATTGTTTACACTGCTGCTTGTTAATACTATACAGCCTTGTGTTGGTTTACCGTTTACTTGCCCCTTGCATAGGGATATATACATGCACATTGAGAGCCAATGTACCAGAGTCAAATTCCTCGTGTGTCCGACACACCTGACCAATAAAGCTGAGTCTGAGTTTGACTAATCAGTTATATGACTAATCGATACATACTAATCAACAGTGAATGCTTAATTACGTTTCGGGCAAGGAAGGACCCAAAAGCAGGCACTGTCTAGAGTCCAGTGTTTATTCAGTTCAATATAAAAGAGAAACAAATGGGTAAACAGACGCTCAACCTGACATGACGTCACGATACAGGTACAAAACCAATATCTTGTTGGAACACGTTCGCACACTGAAGTGAGCGAGCAGTAATGAGAGGCGGTCCCAGGTAGCCGACTTCGGTGCAAGCTACGGTTTATTATTTACAGTGCAGTGTATAGACAAAAACAACAAGTACGTAGATAATGACTGATATGAGTGACCGGGGGTCGACCAGCAGCAGGAGGTGAAGATGGATGAGGTGGGCCGAGCTGCGTCGCGGGGTCACTCCTGGGCTGGTCGGTGGGTGATGGTGGCTACTGGAAAAAAACAGAGGCGCTGGAACTGACAAACTGGTGACTGTGCATCGACCTGTCTGGGAGAGTAGAGTGGAGCCGAAGTCCGGAGGAAACAGTCCGTGTAGAGAATAGGAGCTGGCTAGAAGAGGTAACGAATGGAAGTCCAGGGGGATAACAAACAGGTACCAGATTAAGGCAAAACAACAACGAACTAGTAATCTAGGGAGAGGACGAAGAGAATAGCCTGAAAACAAGATGGAACTGGCAGGGAGCGTAAAGTGAGCCGGGTATAAATAAGGTGGGGGACTGAGTGAATGCAGCTGGTGATAATGAAGGAAACAGGTGGCAGATGAGTGAGCTAAGACAGAAGAAGTGGAAAAAAGGCAGGTGTAGCCGACCAAACCTGACATATCTAAACAGAAAGTCAGGGAGCTACATGAAACAAACAAAACAACTAAAACAGACCACAAGAACTAACCAAGAATCTTGCTGACAGGAAAAACTCAAAAGAACAGTCTAATAGCAACCAAGGCAAATGATACAAAAACTTACAAAGTGGACAGGCACGGAGACGAATGACAGGGCAACAAAACACGGAGAACAGATGAGCCAACAACCAGACTGAGAGAAGGGAGGAGGATATATAGACAGGGGACCAGGAGGTTTAATCTCTTTAATTTGTCACCCACCTGTTTGTGTGTAAGCTTTACATGCACTGGTACAGGAGATGGGCTTTGTTACCTGGACAGACTCAGGCTAGCTGTGTCCTTTTTCAGTCTTTATGCTAAGCTACCTATACTTGTTGGCTCTATGAATCTTCATATTTCCTTTACAGATAGAGAGTGGCATCTCTTTTTGTCTAACACTCTGCCAGAATTCCTGTATTTCCCCACGTATCAACAAGTTTTAAATACATCTTCCACCTCTGCCAGCAAGTATCTTACACATTTGAACTCTTTGAATCACATGATACGTTTTTGTGCTGGACATCACTTCATTTTAAAATGAACAGTATTCACAGTATGAATAAATGGGGTCTGATGGGTTTGCTCCATCAGTTAAACTATTCACTAATGAAAGAACAGATGTAAATAATATGCTGTGCTTATTAAGTTTTGCTGATGGTGCAGTTCAAAAAGTGCCAGGGCAAGCACCACTAACCAGGAGAACAAACCCTTAAGTTTCAAATAGATTAGATGCTTGAGTCTACATCTTCTGGGGTTTACGTCTATGGCCAAACTGGCACATTTAGCATTGTATCAAGTGATGTGTACTAAAAGAAACCACAAAAATGATTTGCAAATACCTGTTGATCCTATTCTTAATGTGGGTATAAGGTGATTACAACAACACAAGATGCCAATACAAAAGGGGTCAGTCAGTTCTTGTTCGCTGTATTGTGTATTTCTAAGGTAAACATTAGAGCTCAACAGGCTTAGTCAGTCCATTAATATCATCATAGCTGTTTAAGACTCTTTTCAGCACCACCTCACTGTGTTGTCCCTCCACAGTATCAGGCTCTGGCTCTGAGTGCCTCTCTAACTCCTTAAGGGTGCAGTCAGTTTCTCTTGCACTCCTTGCTCACTGGAGGGTGTGGGTGACTTGAGTGCCAGGAGAGCTTTGAATAACAGGGAGAGGGAGAGAAATAAAAGGAATAAGCACCACAAGCCCTCAGTCTTCTAGTGGCAGAGAGAAGACACAGGAATAACCATGCCTGAGCCAGTCCCTGCAGGTATGCAAATCCTTTCTGTGAAATTCATTGTAATTAATCAGGAGACTGGGTTGTGGTGGCTGTGTTGATGCTTTAATGTGGGTAGCCTGGTTTGGTTTGAGGTTGCAATATGAATAATATTAAATGTGTTGGTATATGCAATGATTTTTAGTGCTTAGCAACAAAGAACAGGAACAATTATGATTAAAAATACATATTTACGTGGATCTGAAGACAAGATAATTGTAGGATTTCAATACCTGAGTAGTGTTATGATCCCTGCTGTGTTATAGCATATGATACGAGGTGATGACGACATTTGGTATAGATAATGTGGTTTAGCTTAATGCACAGTGATGAGCTCCAGAGGGTTCAGACTCACAAGTTAAATCCTGTGACCCACAGTAGGTGTTTATTATAAACTGAAGAAAAAGGAAAAATGCCAGATGGCCTCATTTCTCACTGTAAATGAAATGAATTCAGTGATTGTTTCTCCCAGTTCCTCATAGTTGTAGATTCAGTGTGATAGAGCAAATTAATGTAACATTAGATAGACTGGAATATCCACCGTTAAATATAAAATAACATCAGAATGCTGCAACTAAAAATAACCAAGTTAAAATGTGATTAAAAATATCCAGGGTGTTAACAGTACTCTTTACTGTTGTCCCTTACTGCCAACGATTCACTCCTAATTCCCTTTAAAATACAATTGCTATACAGATTCAAAATTTCATAAAGGCAAACATTTTGCTACTTTGTATCCTTGTTATTCATCCATAAAGAATATCTGAAAGGCTATGAATGAACCTGGCTACCTGCTGCTATGACATCAGTGAGGCCACGGTGTTAATGACATCAACCCAGAGAGCGCCATCTGGTTGATTGTACTAGAAAGCTTGCAGAAACAGCTGTGGAAAAGCATGTATAGCAGCTCTAGAGGTAAATGCTGCTGCAGCTATACTGTGCTCTGTGGAAGACTCAGCCTATAAGCAAACTGGTTTTACTGTATGTTCTTTACAGTAGTTAAAATAGACCATTGTAGTCACTTTTAATATAATCTTTGCAGAGGAAATTAGTTTTTCATTTTACATTTAACTTTTCCAGAATTATCATATTGAAGTTTTTGATTCTTTCTAGCAAAAGCTAACATCAGTAGCTTAATGTAAACAATGCCATGATTAGTCTGTAAAATACAGTTCCTCTTACAAACATCCACTCTTGGCACCTTTAGACAACTGCTACTTTCTTATAAATAGTTGCCTGCCACCTGTCCACCTCTTTGATTCAGTGCAGCCCTGAATCACTGAACTGGCAGAAACCAAAGCTAAGAAACTGTCATAGCAGAAACTGTTAGAGGAGTTGGGTTTTACATGCCAAGACTTCAGGAAGACTATTAAGCCTTTCAAACCCCTCTAATTTATCCACTGACCACCCTGTGATGGTGAATGTAGTGGCCTTTGCTGGAGTTGTTAGCACATTGCATTATTTACTTTGCACTATTTCATTCTTTTTCTCTGCATGTGTCCCTGGCAAAATCTGTTCAAAGGTCTAAGCTAGGCCCTTTTATTTTTATCACGGGCACATAACCAGGCACTACTTTTATTCACCATATACAGCCACAGAGTTTATCCATGTGCTATGGATAGGATTCCACTTTCTGCTTACTGAATTCATTCCAAGTCAAACTATAAGGCTCAGGTAACCAGCCACTGACCAATTTATAACTCTACTATGTTTCTTAGAAATATTCAAAGTGATACTGCAGAAGCAAATATTACATTTTAAACAGCTCAGTGACTGAATGTGCCCTATGAAACACTCTACATTTATGCAAAAGATAAGTTAAAACATTTCCTGTGCCACTTCACTGACTGTAGCAGCCAGATCCCAACCTTAGCTAACAGCTAAAAATACACCTCTCAATAACCCCTGACCTTTTCCACTTTGCTTTTTTATTCCTTATAGTTCATTAAGTTTCACACACCCAAGCGTATCAGGTTTTGTCCCAGCTGAGATAAATCATTATGTAATCGGACACTATCATCTAGAAAGTTCCCTCATGGTCAGCAGGCTCGACAGTGCCTCCTGAACCTGGTGTCAGTCAAACAGTCACCATTTTCGAGTCTGTTACTGAATGCAATTGCAAGAAAACTGCTCTGTGAAGTTTCTCCAGTTGCTTAATCCTGTTTATTTTTTGCATGACACAAAAACCATGGCATGAAATGAGTAAGGATTCTCTAAGATAATAAACCATGCTTTTTATTAATCACAAAAGTTTCAGATGCGACTTTAAATTTTATATTGATAACTTTTAGAATTTCATGCATGTGGGGTAGATTTCAGGAAAAAAACTGCTCTGAATTGCTTCTCAAAAACATTTGTTTGATTGTTTAAACCCTCTGGTGCACTCAGTATTGTCCTGTGTAGCACAAACTATAATAAATGTTATTATTATTAACTACACAGTGAATGAACTGCAGTCAAATAGCTGTAACTTAACAGAACCAGACAACTTAGATTTATATACAATGTGTTTGCTTACAGTAGATCCAAGCCAACAAGCATTAAATTATGCATTGCTGAGATTTGTTCATAAACCTCTTACATGCTGTCTAGAGATACCCAGAGTGCCACAGAGGTTTGATAAGGTCAGGCCATCTTATACCTGTCTTTATGTCAGGGTCATTGCACGCTCAGTAAATCAGGCTGGTCACAAACTGCGAGGTAAAAATATGAAGCACCTGAACAGACCAAAACAAATTTAGATAGATATTAATAACCCATGCCTCCAGATACAAACAAAAGGTAACTGAGTGTGTTGTACTACAGGAAGCGTATTTACATAAATCGGATACTACTGTACCTATAATGTTTGTCTCCCTATGGAAATAAACAAAAAACTGCAAAGAAGTGTCCATTTTATTCATTTTATTTACTCAACAAGCATATCTGCAAAATCCTACTAATTATATATCTACCACTATTGCATGAAACCAGAGACAGTCTCTGAAGGGAACACTCGGACTGTGAGGAACAGCTGTTCAGAAGTTCACTACCTTACTTTGTCACAAACTTGTTGAAGATGATCAAGATACCCAACCCATGTGGATTGACTTAGCCGATGCTCATGCAGATTTACGTTCGGTGCAGGTGTTAAATCCTCTTACAGGGTCTATAAAGTACCCATACTAAGGACTTGGTGTAGTGTGCAGCAGTCAGGTTTACATCTTAGCAAATGTTCTTATTTTGTACTGAGTAACAAGATACTGAATGCTACTCTCTCAACTGTTGTTGTTTATAGCTCAGGTGACTATGTAAGAAGCCATATGGGTAGATGCAATACACAAAGGTAAATGTAGCTTTGAATAAAATGCTAATATGATGTCACCCATTCATCTAAGGATCCAGGTGACTGCAAGCTGTTGTGTTACGTTATACTAAAAAGAAATCAGACACATTATATGCACATAGAACGTTTTCCTAAACAAAGAAAAAATGAATAAATATATTGTGAACACCTTTTTAGTTAGAATGAATGACAAGTGAACAGTAAAGCAAGCAAGCTACAGCTGGTCTGACTATTCAAGGAAACTGTGTTCAACTTAAGGGAATGTGGCATGACTTCAGGGAGGTCATAAGACACCGACCCTGGCCTTTAAGAGCTACTGCTCTGACCCTGTTAAAGACGCTCGGGAGTTGGGTATTTTATATGCCTCTATTTCAGTTGAGAATGTCCTTTTACCAGACTTAGGGCTCAACAATTACGGCAAATCCACAGTGTTCAACGCTCGAGGCAAACTGCTCGGCTTCATCTGTAGCTCCAGTCTGTCCAGTTCTTAAAGACGGTGCGCTAAAGTTATAAAATAAGGGGATGACAAAATAATTCTGCAGCCACTGAAATGTAGGTCAAGATATCAGTTTGTGTCAGAGGTTACATCACCTAATAGAAATTTCAAATGCTATAGAATAGGTACAGTAGTATCTTAAATGTATGGCCCAAGATAATAAGCTTCACTATGACATCAGATACTGTATTCTCTAAACATTGCTGAAATAACCATTTTATATAAAGTAATCACTGTAAGACAAACATCTAGTAATATATCATAAAGCCAGTGTTATTAAAGATAAATGTTAATATGTTGGTAGTGTGTCTAAACGGATCTAGTTACCTTCTTGGTCTGTTTCTGTTTCTCAGCTAAATCAGAGGGGGAGGGTAAGTCAGCTGCTCCACAGCATTTGCCTACTGACCTTATGTCACACAGTGACTTGATTATAGCTCTCACATTTTCACTTTTCATTCACGTCTACTGTCACCTGCCTGTGTCAAGCAAAGGCAACCGTGTAATCAGCATGCACCAAGTCATCATTAATGAACTTTACTTTTTGTCATGACAGCATCTTTATTTTATATTAGTATGCGAGCATGCTACTGTATACAGTGAGGAACAGAAGTATTTGAACACCCTGCAATTCTGCAAGTTCTCCCACTTAGAAATCATGGAGGGGTCTGAAATTCACATTGTAGGTGCATTCCCACTCTGAGAGACAGAATTAAAAAAAAATTTCAGGAAATCACATTGTATGATTTTTAAAGATTTTATTTGTCTTGCACTGCTGAACATAAGTATTTAAACACCTGAGAAACAGCAAGAATTCTGGCTCTCAAAGACCTGTTACTGTGCCTTGAAAAAGTCCACCTCTACTCCACTCATTAATCTAAATTAGTAGCACCTGTCTGAGCTCTTTAAAGACACCTGTCCACCCCACAGTCAGTCAGACGCCAACTACTACCATGGGCAAGACCAAAGAGCTGTCAAAAGACACCAGAGACAAAATTGTGGACCTCCACAAGGCTGGAAAGGGCTACGGGGCAATTGCCAAGCAGCTTGGTGAAAACAGATCAACTGTTGGAGCAATTGTTAGAAAATGGAAGAGGCTAAAGACGACTGTCAATCTCCCTCGGACTGGGGCGCCATGCAAGATCTCACCTCGTGGGGTATCACGGATGATGAGAAAGGTGAGGAATCAGCCCAGAACTACAAGGGAGGAGCTGGTCAATGACATGAAGAGAGCTGGGACCACAGTTCTGTCGGTAGAACACTACGCTGTCATGGTTTCAAATCATGCATTGCACGGAAGGTTCCCCTGCTCAAGTCATCACATGTCCAGGCCCATCTGAAATTTGCCAAAGACCATCTGGATGATCCAGAGGAGGCATGGGAGAAAGTCATGTGGTCAGATGAGACCAAAGTAGAACTTTTTGGTCTAAACTTCACTCATCGTGTTTGGAGGAAAAAGAAGGATGAGATGCATCCCAAGAACACCAACCCTACTGTGAAGCATGGGGGTGGAAACATCATGCTGTGGGGGTGCTTTTCTGCGAAGGGGACAGGACGTCTGCACTGTATTAAGGAGAAGATGAATGGGGCCATTTATTGTGAGATTTTGAGCAACAACCTCCTTCCCTCAGTCAGAGCATTGAAGATGGGTCGTGGCTGGGTCTTCCAACATGACAACGACCCGAAGCACACAGCCAGGATAACCAAGGAGTGGCTCCGAGCAATTGTTAGAAAATGGAAGAGGCTAAAGACGACTGTCAGTCTCCCTTGGACTGGGGCGCCATGCAAGATCTCACCTCGTGGGGTATCACTGATGATAAGAAAGGTGAGGAATCAGCCCAGAACTACAAGGTCTGGTCAATGACATGAAGAGAGCTGGGACCACAGGAAACATTTGACCTCTGTAGTTGCAAACAAAGGTTTCTGTACCAAATATTAACACTGATTTTCTCAGGTGTTCAAATACTTATGTTCAGCAGTGCAAGACAAATAAATTCTTTAAAAATCATACAATGTGATTTCCTGAAATTTTTTTTAAATTCTGTCTCTCAGAGTGGGAATGAACCTACAATGTGAATTTCAGACCCCTCCATGATTTCTAAGTGGGAGAACTTGCAAAATCGCAGGGTGTTCAAATACTTCTGTTCCTCACTGTATGTTCTGTATATTTTACATTCAAGCATTTTCACTGAGAAGCTCTAATACCGAACATTATCAGAAGCTTTTGAATGTGGTTATGTGATACTGGTCTGAATCTTATACTTTAAACAGTGCTAAAATCTATTTGCTCAGCTCTTGGAGTGTCTGTAATATTTGTTTTCCAAAGAGATATTTCCTTTTATTTGGTATAACTAACCAAAAGACAAGCCCAGACGTTGAGGGACCAAGAATTTCTTTTTCTTTTATGTGACTTTCAGTTTTTCAGTGCACTCATTCATACAATATGTGACATGGAGTGGGGTTGATGCATTTGAACTAATCAGTTGGGGTAATTAATGAAATAATACAGAACAAGTGGTTGAGCCATAGATAATAAGTTGAGCAGTTACCAGAAACATTGGGCATTTATGTCAGTCCCATTAAATGAGACAACATGAAGTTGCTGAATGGGATAATGTAGTGATTCTGTCACTCTGAACCAATGTTTGCATCTTTTAGCTAGCCTACAGTGTGCATGTGACAGTACATCTACTGTGTGGTAGAAGATTATATCCTCACTGTATTGTAATGTCATGAAATCTGCACATGTATGCACTGCATATTGCAATGTCATGTGTATTGATGACCGGTCTAATAGGAATCAATGTTCTTGTTTCCTTTCATTCAATATTCAGTTGATTTCTTTAGCATGCATACTTCTGGATTATAGAGAAATGATACATATACATGAAGCAGATAAGACAAGTGGGATTTGAATACACATTCACTGCCACATAATGCGTTTCCCATATATGTGAACTCTTCTCACTTTTGTTGACATTTCATGCCATGCATGTGTGTGAAAACACACTATCTGCAAGTGTTTCTATGTGTTTGGATTTAATTAATTTATTAATCAAACCACAAGAAAATTAAGATGGTAGACACCTTTTACAGTGTCAGGGAATGCTACACACTGACTCTTGTTTCAACTTTTTCCATTATGACTAACTATAGAGAAAACTGTAACTACAGTATATATTGGGAATAAAGCTAATTTTCATTCATTTTCTTTGGATGTATCCCTTGCAGATGGAGGTAAGGCAGAGGTCTATATGCTCAATGCTTTGGTTTAATGTATCAGTTTATATAATATACCTTATATATTCACATATGGGTGCATACATGTGCCAGACGGTATGTGACAGTGGTAGTACAGTACCTGCAGGAGTCCTTTACATTTTCAAAGGGTTTTCAGGTTTGTCTCTGGTGACCTGCACTATAATAAAGTTAAGAATTTTTGTAAACCTCAAAAATACAAATTAATATGCAAAATGGGTGTCATTTATTCAGATTCGTTTATTATAGTAGTGGTTAAGTCAGCTTTTTTCATGTATACCTTTTTTCATCATTGAACTGATGTACTATATACCTACATATATATGTTGTGTTTAAACTTAAGCTTGGTTTGGTTTTATAGTATGTACAACACACAATCAAGTTTTGTGATTTACTGTTTACTTCCAAGTACAGTATATAAAATTATACTGTATTCTGTGTTCTGGTTTCTATGTGTGTCCTCTATAAGCATTTTGCATATCTTAACATATTTCCTTATTTATTTCTGCATGCAGCAATAAGTCAAAATTAAAATATTTCAACTTGTAAATGCAAAGTGTATCAGACTGTGGTGATTGTATCAAATGTGGTGTTGCATGGTGCTTCTGTTTTTGATTGTTTATTGGTCTCTATTACGATTGTATGTCTTCTTGTTTGCTTCCTAACTGATTTTTTAAGCCTTGTTTGCTTCCTTGTCTGCAGCAGTCAGAAGCTGATGTGTATGGTAAGAAAAGAGCGACACTAAAGTGTCTGTTGACATTTTACTTTTACACCACAAATGTATGATTATGAGTGTTTATAACATTATGTTTTGTACATTATGTTATTTTGTGACAAAGTATCACAAAGGTTTAAAAGTGTCCATCAGGCTGTGTGATCAAAATGTTGCTCGCAGTATTTAAATGTATAATGTAATGTACAGGAAGTATGTAGTACTTATACTTACTAATTCCTTGAAAATCCACCTCAGAGCTTGCAATGCCCTGCACCTTGGTGATGGCTGCCCTTAGAATAAGCCTAGAACAAGAGCTGACTGGAGTGGGCTCATTGTGCATGATAGTGCATGAAGCGATTATTGTCTCGTGCACTTGTTCTGTTCTCAATCACTGGTATCTGTTGGTGCTGACAGACATCTCATGTACACATTATGCTGCTTATGTTCTGTCAGCAGTTCAGAATTAGTTTCTCCTTGTGAAGAGTGCTGCCCTCCCCGTGATGTCAGCACTAATTTGTTCCTGTACCTCTGGCATTTTAAAAAGTCAGAGTGGCATTAACTTGGAACAATGACAGGTGTTATGAACATACCAATAGCATCTGATGTGAGGACATTTTTTAATAGTTGTTTAATATTATGCTTCACTAGGAAATAGGTGGATTCAAACAGTGAAGATATCCAAGAAATCATGGTCAGTACATCAAACCCAATGGCTTCAATGTTTAAGGTCTTTTAAATAAGATAAACCTTGGTTGTGTATCACAGCCATTAGTATGATTTTTAAGGCACTACTCTCAAACTGTGTGGGTTACACCACAGCTCAGGTTTGACATGTGAAATTCACGTTACAAAGTTGCCCCTCTCCTCCCTGGTCTTTTATGGGCACAGCTTCCAGATCAATGAGTTGGATGGCTTCTATATTTGAACTGACTAAGAGTCCTGAATGGAGAAGGGTTATGGAAATGGCACGGCTTCAGTGAAATGAAAATTCACTGAAATGGTATTTTTGTGGTGCCCTTCAAATAAATGGGAAATATCCTGTATCTACTTTGCATGAGGCTTTTGTCAGCTCCGTAGGTCTCTCTGGTGACTTTGCCACATAGCCTGGTACGCCATATTGTCCATCATGTTTGCTTCTTTTTTGAGCTGTTTACCCAGTGTGGTGAGGCATGGATGATGGACTAGGATTGTACAAATGAGAGACTGATAGCCACAGTTTCCTCTAAAGGTGGTATGACTGCTTTGTATCCTCACAACAGGACTGTTATGTTGGGGGAGTTGGCTCCTGTTGGCTGCCCTGAAATTTGGCCTGCTGAGCCAAGACAGGAGTCAAGCAAGTGGGGGGGAGGACATTAAATGTTAAATTTGGTAACTGCCACCTCCATAAATTCTTTGGGGAATAGGTCCTGTGAGACCTACCACAGATTTTTCTGTCTGTCCTCTCAGCATTTTTGAGTGCACACTGTGCTGTGAATGCTCACTCCTGAATATAGGACTCTGCAAGCTCCTGGCATCATTTACTCAGAGTTAATGTGCAGGAATTACAACCCTTCCCTGGTTGTTATTTTAATTATAAAGAGTTGCATGCATATTGCCTAAGAAGTCATTTTGACTGCATACATAGGAGCCATTGGTTTTGGTAGAATTTTTTTTTTAAATGTTTGATCACTGGACTTCTTTATGTCTATTAGAGTGAAATTTCTGTGTGGGAAGTGTTTATCATACTAAGGCTGTTTTAAATATGCCCATGGTATTCTAACGTGTGGAGGGGATTATCATGACTTGGCCAGCTGCAGACTGTTTTGGTGCTCTAGCATCAGTATTACGTACGAGTATTAACAGAAAGTTAATACCAGATTCTTAAAGAAGCTGAAAATCCTGCTATGGAAACCTGCCTGGAGTTGATTTGCTCTTATGGTATCTTGATAGGTAATTGAATCTCGCTAACAATACAAATTATAACACATCAATCCTCTAAACAAAAAAATGATTAAACATATTACAGTTCAATGATTTGTTTAGGCAGCCTGGGGTACACATGCTCTGTATGGGGAAAAGTAAGTGCCTCCTCTGTAACCAGCAGCCTTGTAAGATCAGTCCAAAGGAAGTAATCAGTCTCATTTCAATATTAATTTATCTCAGCTTTAGTGATTAAAAGTGCAGTAACAACTGTCTGTTTTAACTGATAACAGTCATCTTACCTTCACATGTAGAAATCTGTTTTGATTGCAATTCACTGTGTGGAGTTTTAATGTAGTCACTCCACAAAATAATCATTGTGTAATTGCAGCTCACTTGTTTTGTTTTACCATGTGTTCACACTAACTTATGGTACAGTATAACAGCAAATTGTTATACCTCCATATGTTAAATGGGGGTATTTGTTTTTCCCAGCTAAGGCAAACCCTGATGAGGGTAAGGGCGAGCTGAAGACACTAAGGACTGTGGTTATCCACTGCATGCAAATGTGGCATTATGAAGTGCATCCTACTGTATGTGTGTTATGTGATGGTCCAATATCATGTTCAGAGAATATGTGATATTTCTGGACTGGTTGGTAAATAGGGCCAGTTATGCAGCACTTGTACTGTATAATATGACTTCATTTGGATGCAAATGCTAATGCAACATGTGCATTGTTGACAAATGTGCATCTTGAAATATAAATCTTTAAAACGGGTAGAAAGTGCTGATGTATGAAAGTCAACAGATGCTCTTGCTAAAGGTTTTGTACATAGCACTGTCAAAGTTCAGTAACACATTCCAGTTAGTAATGATATGTTGCTGTGGTGACTATATCTCACTGGAACTTTGGCTTTGGTAATACATAAAACACATCCACCCTATTTTCTTGCCCTTGTATGTGTTTGGAGAACATGAAGTTGTTTATCTGTCAGATGACTGTTTGTATGTCCAATTCAATGGTCACATTCCCTGTAATTATTTTACCACTGTACTCTGCAAAGAGTTCAGGTTATATTTTTTTATTAATGTAAACAACTCACAAACTGAAACAAACAAGTGACTGAGACACAGACACACACACAGAGAAAACATTTCAGGCCATTTTTACTGTCAGAATACAGGAGGGTACATATCCAGTTGCCCGTAGCAGTGCCAGTGCTTAGAAATGATCATAATATTATTTATCCTTTACTTTTATTGCTATGTTTAACCTTTAACAAACCATAAACTATTAGCACACATGTTTTACTTGTCAGTAGTAATAAATTATTAAGATATATTTTCTATTTTATTAGTGAAGAACATTGCTAATTATGTTTAAAATCAAATTTAAAACTGCAGAAAGAAATTACATTTGTAGAAGCAAGAAAAATAATATGCATTTATTATTCAGAAGATACAAACTGCTTTGATGTATGAAATACAGTATGCTAAATTGTGACCTGGTTGAACATTTGTTAAGGATAACTTAGTGTAAGCTTTTAAATGCATCACTGTGTTGCAGAAAACAATTACTTGTCATACTGCCTCGTCTGTCTATAGTTAAATGCTATCAATTTACCAGTTATTGGGTGCAACATTTGAAATCCAATGTATGTGCACAGTTTGTGTGCATATGTGATTCAAAATTGTTCAAGTTTGCTCATATGCCCAAGTGGTTCAATGTCGTCTTTGCACTTTGCTTTGTTGCACACTGTGGGCATTGCCAATCTTTTATGTTCATTTTGTTTTGTTTTCATTGCTTTGTTTAGATGAATCCATCAAAAAATGATTTCAAATTTGAAAGAGTAAGTAAACTTTTTTCTCCTTCTTTTCAGAGACCACCCAGCTCTCTGGGCTCTTTGTTGAGAAGCCCCCGGAAAAGGTGGTCATTGTCGCAGGTTAGAAACTCAAATGGATGGATGAACTGTCAAAACAGGAAACAGTAGAAATCCATAATGTGTAGCCTGGTCGAATCGTGTAATATATGTACATTGTTGTTTGCAAATTGCAGGAACGGATGCCACTTTCATAGCCAAGGTTGACTCGAGCAACCTGCCAAAAAAACCCACCATGAAATGGCTGAAGGGCAAGTGGTTGGACCTCGCCAGCAAGGCTGGGAAACATTTACAGTTCAAAGAAACTTATGACAAAAATACTAAGGTCTGTGTGTGTGATAGCGAGAGAGAGGCATTTTTCTAATCCACTTCTTTCAGAAATAACTACATGACTAAGAAGTAATATTAGAGTAACATTTTCTCCCCAAGATCTATACCTATGAAATGAAGATCAACAAAGTGGCCCGTGGAGATGCTGGGGCCTACAGGTGCGAGGTGACAACAAAAGAAAAGTGTGACAGCTCCACCTTTGAGGTCACTGTTGATGGTGAGTGATAACACACTTTGGCCCGCTGAGGCACACACAAACTCTATAAGTGCTGAGATTGGGATCTGATCCAGGCCTACTATGTGCTTGCTGCAAATTTGCTTGTTACAGTTGCACAGGAGGAGTCCCAGGATATCCTGTCTGCCTTTAAGAGAGCGTAAGTGAATGAGTTTCAGCCTATCTTAATAGTTTAGGTGCGTGTGTGCAACTACACGAGGGAAAAGGCATACGTGTATTTTTTCAGCACATGCTATATGTCGGTATATAAATTTTAATGCTGCCCGATTTTGGTTACACTTGTATAGTTTGTGTAATGTATGTCTGTTTCCATACACACAGAGATGCTGGAGCTGGAGATGACCAGGGGGAGCTGGATTTCAGCAGTCTGCTGAAAGCTGCTAAGTGAGAAGGAAACTGTTATTTGGTTTGCACAATCATCAAGCACAGAGTTTGATTGGTTCCTTTAAAGAAATCCTTTTGCTTCTCCTGTTTGTAAACATACCCCCTTTTTCCGTTACTGACAGGAAAAAGAAGCCTGAAAAAGTGGAACCAGATGTAGATGTGTGGGAATTGCTTAAGAATGCACATCCAAGCGAGTATGAGAAGATTGCCTTTAAGTATGGAATCACTGACCTAAGGGGCATGCTGAAACGTCTGAAGAAGATGAAGGTCCAGCCCAAGCAAAGCGAGGGTAAATTGGGTTATTTGAGGGATAAAGGGAAGGGATGAAGTAGAGGAGCATTTGAAGTATGAAGGAAATGAAGTGGGAGGTGAGATTTGATCTCAGAGGAGGTGGAAAGGGAAGAGAGGAACCGGCCATGAAACTGGGCCGAGAAACCAAAACAAGGAAGTTGTTTGTGAACTGGTGACTTGTTAATTCTTATTTTTTTCTTTTCTGTTGGCAACACCAGCTTTTCTGAAGAAGCTTGACGATTGCTACTCAGTGGAAAAGGGCAAGAGGATTGTCCTGAAATGTGAGGTGTTTGATCCAAATGCCCAAGTCAAATGGTTGAAGAATGGCCAGGAAATCAAGCCCTCAGCCAAGTACATACACACACTAATTATTGTTAGTTCTTATAGACCTTTTACTATTTTTTTTCACCATGATAAGCCTCATGCAAGATGTTTGCTTCATTAGTAGACATTTACCATATTAATCAGCAACCTTAGATAGACTTGATGAGCAGTGTTTTAAAAATATCAAGCTAAAATTATCTGTGCCTCAGAGTTATACTCTGCTCAGTGCTGGAAGCAACGTATCTTATTTTTAGGTGGTCATAAGAAGCCTCCCAGCGGGTTGGAGAAGTCACACTGCCAAAACATCTTATATCCCATGTAAACTAATGCAGATACACCCCTTGGGCAAAGACCTCTATTTCTAGATTTAAAGGTCTTATTGTGAAAACAAAATCTATGGTCTAGGTGAAAAGTGGAATCCATAGACTGGGTCAGCTAGACAACTCTAAAGTCTTTAAAAGCTATTGTCAAAATTAACTACAGGTAAACACTAAATTAAATGTAAAATGCTTTTAGATGAATGTATTATTTTGAAAAGCATGTGTAATAAATCTGTAGCTTGATAAACTTCAAGACTGTGCGATTTGACAATGAATCTCTCTGCCACTATTCAAGGTATATTATGGAAGCAAATGGGAATGTCAGAACACTTATCATCAACAAGACAACCCTGGCTGATGATGCTGCATATGAGTGTGTAGTAGGAGAGGAAAAGTGTTACACAGAGGTGTTTGTCAAAGGTGCACAATCTCCTTATTTTAATCAGTTAATCAGCAATGAAAACCAGAGATTATTGCAAAGAATGATGTTAACACTGAGTTTCTGCTGAATTCATGAATTTGAATGTCTGCCTCTTCTCTGTCCAGAGCCCCCAGTGACCATCACCAAGCTGATGGACGACTATCATGTGGTTGTCGGAGAGAGAGTGGAGTTTGAAATCGAGGTGTCAGAGGAGGGTGCCCACGTCATGTGGTCAGTAAATATTGCAGTATTTTGCAATATAAACTCAACCTAGCTTCACTCAGTTGTAGGACATGGCTTTAATCCCTGCCAAAATACTAGTGAACTACTTCCTGCTGTACAAACATTTCTTAGAAGAACCATAACTGATTTGTGCCTTTATGCTTTACATCACCGCACCAGAAAGACTTCTATTTTATTTAAAATTAAATCAAATTTAAATCTATTATCTCACAAAAGATCTGGACCACATTAAATAAAGCTCAGTTTCTTAGTGTCTTTGCCTTTGTTTGTACATATTAGAGTAGACATTAAAGAGACTTTAAATTTACATTAGACATAAGTATAATGTAACTATGTTGTTTAAATATTAAGCAGTAGCATATTTCAATGAGATATGGCCATTTCTTTTTTATTTCCAGGTACTTTGAGGATGAACAGCTTCAAAAAGATTCCTCAAAGTTTCGCTTCAAGAAGGATGGAAAGAAGCACACGCTCACCATTCTGGAAGCTTCTCTGGATGACATTGGAATGTACCATGCTTACACAAATGGGGGGCATACTAAAGGAGAGCTGGAGGTGGAAGGTACCACTGGAAAATATAATTCATTCAGTTTTTAATTTCCCTTTTTTTTTTAGTGAAAACTGATAGTAATGAATTTTATTTTAGATCAGTTTGTTAATGATAGCTTCCACACCTGTGAATAAACAGTATTTTATATAAATTTTCTATATTTATTCTGGGTTTTTATCATTTAAATGTGTGCTGTTCAGTGCCAAGGATGCATCTGAATTTAAGGGCTGGCCCAGGGACTTAACACCTCTCCATATACACAGACTAATAATAACAATAATAACTAATGGTAGTGAATGTCAGGATGTTACCATTCCTCTCCTTTCACATACTCTCTACTACCTGATCAATTCTCTTGTGGTTTCAATTGTTTTCTAAAGAAAAACAGCTGGAGGTGTTGCAGGACATTGCTGACCTGACAGTCAAGGCAACAGATCAGGCTGTGTTCAAGTGTGAGGTCTCTGATGAAAAGGTCACAGGAAAGTGGTACAAAGATGGAGTGGAAGTCTTGCCAAGTGAACGCATCAAAATCATTCATAAAGGAAGGTACAACGATGAGAATGAATTCATGCAGGCTATGGAAAAAAGTGGATTTGTGCACCACCCAATTTGGTGAGGAAGATGTCTTCCATCCATCATGCTCTTTTTTTTTTTTTTTATTCCAGGTTTCACCGTCTAATTATTGATGATGTGAAACCAGGGGATGCTGGAGACTACACATTTGTTCCTGATGGATACGCTCTGTCACTTGCAGCCAAACTCAACTTCTTGGGTAAGAAAGACAGAATGATTACAATGGTGCATTCGTGGGTGCATTGTTAATCATTAGCAGCTGGTACAGTATAACGCTGTCAACTGTTTTATTTTTTTCATACAGAGATTAAAATCGACTATGTGCCCAAACAAGGTAGGTGTCCTTAACTTACCTCAGTTCACAAATAATTCAACACGTTTTATACAGTAGTTCATAGAGAGCCCACTTCTGCATACTGTCTCTCTTTGCATGTTGTACATTAATCAGAACCTCCAAAGATCCACCTGGACACCACTGGAAGCATGGTCTCTCAAAACACTATCATTCTGGTGGCGGGCAACAAGCTCCGACTGGATGTGGAAATCACGGGAGAGCCAGCACCCACTGTCCTTTGGTCAAAAGGAGACATAGTAAGGATGTGACAGTATATTGCATGGTGCTTAAAAATAAACATGTTCATACATATCACAGCAATGACACATAAATTGTTTGGAGTGATTACATTATTGCTAGTGCACACAATGCACTAGCATTGTTTCTTTTTCCGAGTTCTGTACTTGCTGTCTTCTTCCTCTCTTTAATGTTCAGCAACATGTGCAGCTGAGATTTGATTCAACCAGTAGGAATTGTTGCGCCTTCAGGCACTTAGGGGTGCAGCAGTCCATGGAAAAAGAGATCCAAAGTTCCCCTCTGAAAACAGGATATGCCTGTGCTGTAGGACTGCTCCATGTTTCTTATTTTACTCCACTGTCACTCCTCTATTTTACTTTAACAGCTAAAGTCACCCTATGGTCAACCCAAGAGGCCCCTGAGTGACCCTTCTGGTTGACTCAAGTGTCTCTATAGCTGGTCCCAAAGCCTGTCTTCTTAAGTGCCACTCTTGAAAAATGAACCTTTACTCAGACCCATGTAATCATAACTCCAACTTTATATTACTCAGAAACCCATTAACTTAGGGCCATCCCAACCAAATGTGTGCATTGTTACAGTTTATATTACCACTACATGTACTTGTCTGTTAGCCAATCACTGCCACTGAAGGTCGTGTGAGAGTGGAGAACAGTAAAGACCTGAGCTCGTTCGTCATAGAGGGGGCAGAGAGGGAGGATGAGGCCCACTACACCATCCTTGTTACCAACCCTGCTGGAGAGGACAAGGCTGTGCTGTTTGTGAGGATTGTGGGTAAGTGAAGATTTTAAATTGAAATGACAGGTGCACTGCTAACTTTGTAGTGACTGATGTGCTGTGGTGTGGTGTACAGTTCTCAACTATTTAATCTTCTGTATTTTAAAGCTTCAGTGTATGTTAAAACTAGCTTTAATGTTATTTCAGATGTTCCTGATCCCCCTGAGCATGTGAAATGCACATCAGTGGGAGAGGACACCGCTACCATCATCTGGGAGCCTCCTAAATTTGATGGTGGTGCACTACTCAAAGGTAAATGATAAATTTCATCTCCACCCATTTTTAACTCGTCTCCAACCATTTAACTCTAGGCTAAAGAGCCTGGGGTGGGGGTGGGGGGGGTACATAGGAGAGGAAAAGGCCAAATACTATTCTGCCCATCTTTATGCTAACTGTGTTTTTACTCCATCAGGTTACCTCATGGAGAGGAAGAAGAAAGGTTCTACCAGATGGACAAAGCTCAACTTTGACGTATATGAATCAACTACGTATGAGGCTAAGAGGATGATTGAAGGTGTCCTGTATGAGATGAGGGTGTTTGCTGTCAACAGCATTGGCATGTCTCAGCCAAGTCTCACCTCCAAACCCTTCATGCCTATTGGTAGGTTTCACAG